TCGCCACACGCGCTCGGCTTAGTTGGCCCGTTCTTGGTTCGCGCCCAGCCCGGCCCCTCCCCGCCCTTTACGGGCTTCTATGTCTTAAGCGAGGCATGGATGCTGGAGAGGAAGGGATGCCGGCTGCGTTCACACAATACGTTTATTTCAGGGGCCGAATTAATCACTCGGGTCAGAAAGACACGGAACTTTCTTTCAGCAAGTTTCGGCCAACCTCTCTCTCCCCCAGCCAGGCAAAGGTATCCCCGCCAAAGTTGTGCGAAGGCAGCTGTTGGGTCTCTCACCCCCGCAAAAATAATAACTTGGATGGAAATTTACAGATTAATAGAGTTGGAAGGGACCTTGTAGGTCAACCCCCCCACCCACCCAAGCAGGAGACCCTACACCATTTCTGACAGATGGCAGTCTAATGTTTCTCAAAAGCCTCCAGTGATGAAGCTCCCACAACTTTCAAATGCAACTTCTGTTCCATTGGCTGATTGTTCTCCCTGTCAGAAAGTTTCTCCTTATTTTCAGCTTGAATCTCTCCTTGTTCCGTTTCCATCCATTGTTCCTTGTCTGGCCTTCGGGTGCCTTGGAGAATAGCTTGAGCTCTTCCTCCTCTCTGGGGCAGCCCCTCAAATATTGGAAGACAGGCTCTCCTGTCTCCCCTGGTCCTTCTCTTCACTAGACTAGCCAGGCCCAGTTCCTGCAACCGTTCATCTTATCTTTTAGCCTCCAGTCCCCTCATTATCCTGGTTGCTCTTCTCTGCACTCTTTCTAGAGTCTCAACATCTTTTTTTCATCTCTTCTTTGTGGCAAGCCCTGAGATATTGGAAGACTGCTATCGTGTCACCCCATCCTTCTTTTCCTTAAACTAGATATGTCCATCCATGGTTTGCTCAGATGTCTCTTCCTTCCTTCCTTCCTTCCTTCCTTCCTTCCTTCCTTCCTTCCTTCCTTCCTCCCTCCCTCCCTCCCTCCCTCCCTCCCCCCTCTCTTTTCTTCCTTTCTTTTGCTTTGGAGAATAGCTTGACTTCCTCCTCTCTGGCAGCTCCTCAAATACTGGAAGATACCATCCTGTCTCCCCTAGTCCTTCTCTTTGCTAGACTAGGCAGGCCCGGTTTCTGCAACCGTTCATTGTATGTTTTAGCCTCCAGCCTCCTAATCATCCTGGTTGCTCTTCTCTGCACTTTTCTAGAATCTCAAAATCTTTTTTTATAGTGTGGTGATCAAAACTGGATGCAGTACTCTAGGTGTGGCCTTACTAAGGCTTTATAGAGTGGTATTACACACCATTGTCCTTTTTCCCCAGGGTGAGGAGCTGAGTTCACACAATAGGTATGTTCCCTTTCGAGCACACGCATACCCCGTTCAGGTTGCCAAGGCCTAACCCATATTTTCCAGGCCGCCACCGAACCCTCATGATAAACACCCGGGCTGAAACGTGGTTAGTTTGGGTCTCGCGCGTTCTAGGAGCAGCCAGGGGCGTGCGGTGAGGCAAAAGATTTTCTGGATCTCTTGATTCCAGGAAGGAGTTTCCTGCTGGTTGCTGCCCTGCCGGGATCTTAACTTGGATGCCGCCAAGGCAAAAATCTCTGGCGCTCCATCACCGGAGGGTTTTAAGAAAAGACCAAGACAGTCCATTTCCCGAAAGAGTGTAAGTTCTCCTGCTTGAGCAGGGGGCTGGACTAGAAGACCTCCAAGGTCCCTTCCAGCTCTATTCTATTCTCATCGGATATGCCCATGCTAAGCTAACACTGTGGCATGGGAGGCCTATTTACTCGATCGCGGCTCGGTAAGGCGAGCCAACGAAGCTTCTGCAGAAATGGGAAGAGGTCGCAGATTGAGTCTTGCCTTTTCTGCCCTCCTCCTCGGCTGGGTCCCCCAGATCTCTCCCTTCCCCAGTCAGTCTTTGGGCTGATGATGCCTGGGGATAGAAGCTGACTTTGTCCCCCAGCCCGCTTCCCCCCTCCCCGCGCCGCAGTGGCGGATTAAGGCTCACTGGTGCCCTGAGCGCTGACAAATCTTGAAGCCCTCCTTTATATATACTGTACAAACGAAGCCAAGCTCCCCTTTGAGCCTGGTGCCCTACACACACGGGCTTAGTCTGCTTAAGGGTTAATACACCACTCCCTCCCCCACCTTCCTCCACCCCCCCGCCCCAGTCTGGACACCCCCCTTCAACCGGCCTGGCTCGGCGCTTAGGTGCGATTTGCTTCCCCGAGGTTTGTAGACTAAACCCAAAGGGCTTGAGTGGAGCGCAACGCGTTCTTGTGGTTTAATAGCGCGGTTTAAGAAGCTATCCTAAGGTGTAAGACTCTCCCGAAGCCCTTAACCTCTCCTTTCTTAGAGGTAGACTGCCCCACCTCCGGGACCGCTCCATTTCTCCTACCCAAAGAGGCGCACGCCCTTCGCTTACAGACCGCAAGTCCCTACCCTACACGGCCTTTGGGGGGGGGGGGGGGGGGGGGAAAAAACCCGGGACACCCGGGAAAGGGCCTCTCCCGCCGGGGGGGGGGGGGGGGGGGGGGAGAGAAAAAACTCGGCTGTCCAGTTCCTGCATAACGAGCCTCCGTTCAGTGACCGAGGGGGGCGAGGCGAAAAGAGTATTCGCACCGAGATTTTCCCCCTCCGGCTTCCAAGAACGACACAATCGTACTCGGAACCCGAATCCGCGGCGGAAAGCAGAGCCGCCTGCTTGGGGCTTTGCTGCCAGGAGCGGGGCTGGTGCAGCCGGCCATGGGGCGCACGCAGCTTGTTCCAGAGTAAACCTGGAGCGCAGCCCACCTTGGGCTGAGCGAGCCTTCTCTCCTCTCCCCCCACCCTGAAAATCAGCCTCCTCGGCCTCTGAAAGCTCTATAGAATAGAATAGAATAGAATAGAATAGAATAGAATAGAATAGAATAGAAGTAGAGTAGAGTAGAGTAGAGTAGAGTAGAGTAGGAGTAGAGTAGGAGTAGAGTGGAGTAGGAGTAGAATAGAATAGGAGAGTAGAGTAGAGTAGAGTAGAGTAGAGTAGAATAGGAATAGGAATAGGAATAGGAATAGGAATAGGATAGAATAGAATAGAATAGAATAGAATAGAATAGAATAGAATAGAATAGAATAGAATAGAAGTAGAGTAGAGTAGAGTAGAGTAGAGTAGAGTAGAGTAGAGTAGAGTAGAGTAGAATAGGAGTAGAGTAGAGTAGGAGTAGAATAGAATAGGATAGTAGAGTAGAGTAGAATAGGAATAGAATAGAATAGAATAGAATAGAATAGAAGTAGAGTAGAGTAGAGTAGAGTAGAATAGAATAGAATAGAATAGAATAGAATAGAATAGAATAGAATAGAATAGAATAGAATAACAGAGTTGGAAGGGACATTGTAGGGTCATCTAGTCCAACCCCCTGCTCAAGCAGGAGACCCTATACCATTTCTGACAGATGGTTGTCAGATGGCTCGAGAGCGTTTAGTCAAGAGGGGGGAGGGTATCCTGCTAATCCAAGCAAACTGTTAACTTGGTTAATGGGGGGGTAAGTGGGTGGTGGGAACGTAGCAGAAGGTGCTTGTGGTTCTGAATCCCTTGTTGGGGTTGAGCCCACCGCCCAACTCTGATCGAGTAAGGAGATCCGCCTGGTTTATTCCCACCACAGCTTCGGCTAAAGTGGCGAGTTTGTGATTCAGCGGGTTGTGCGAGCCACCAAGGACAATCGGGAAGCGGGAGGCGGCGTGTCGTGGGAACACAGAGCCTCGGTCAGAGAAATGTTATTTATCCTTCGTTGCTCAGCCGCCGTGATCACATCCCGGCCTTTCCCTGGATCCAAATGGCTGTGGACCGAGTTGGTCGCCTTTCTCTAATTTCACAGTGGCAGAGTAAAGCAATGGCTATTTGCAGACACGGGTTCCTGCTTGGCAAGGGAAGGGAGAGGGTGGTGGTCCGGCCCTGAAGAGACTCAGAAAGTCCCACTGGACCCTCAGAGTGTAAGGAGGGTTGGGGTTTCCCTGCTGATTTCCCTGAATTAGTCAGGCACACCGTTCTGTCCCATTGCGCAATCTCCACATTCAGGCCAAGCCAATTCCAGATGTCCGAAGCGAGCCTGGGAAGAATTTGATTGGCCACCGCGCGGATCCCACGCCGCCTGAGGTAGACTTCAGGAGCCCCGTCCGATCTAGCAAACCCCTTCAACTGAGATTCGTCGGATCTATTGAACTGCAGAGCCCATGCTCCAGGGAAGTACCTGTTGATCCAGCACGTCTGGACAGCACAACGTTGGGATGAGGTGCGTCTAGTAAATTTACTCCCCAAATAAGTCCGACTTAATACTGCGCTCCCAAATTTTACACTCGCAGTTTTTTCCCCCGCCAATTTACTGCCCAGCCAAAACTGCAAACAAACCACCTGCCTGCTTTTCCACCCTCGGTTTTTATTTTATTTTATCATTTCATTTCATTTCATTATTTTAATTTAATTTAATTTAATTTTTATTTATTTTATTATTTTATTTTATTTTGTTGTGTCACGTTACGTTTCGTTACATTGTATTACATTGTATTACATTATATTACTATACTAAATATAATGTAATGTAATGTAATATAATATAATATATTATACTAAACATAATATAATATATAATATAATAAATAACATAACATAACATAACATAACATAACATAACATAACATAACATAACATAATAAATATAATATAATGTAATGTAATGTAATGTAATATAATATAATTAATATAATACAATATGAATTCATTTTTCATTCCCGGGTCGCTTTAAGAACCCGGGGAAGAGCCGAAGCCCCGCCTTTTATGCAGAGTAGCCCGTTCTCAGCTGGCCAATAGAAAGAGGGAAGAGGCGGAGCGTGCTCCCCACCCACCCGCCCCCACCCCCGCCGGGGAAGAAAGTCGCGGGCTTCGCCGAGTCGAAGCGTTTGGATCGAGCGGCGCGTTCGGGCAGGTTGGTCGCTCCGGCTGCTGCGGCGGCGGCGGGTTAGGTACGCCTGGGCGCTCGGGAGAAGAGAAGGCGCCCCCTGCCCCCCGGTAGCTGAGTCGGGGTCTCCGGCCGCGCTGCTGGTGCTGCTGCTGCTGCCCGGCGGCGCCCCCCGCTCGCCCTGCCCGCGCCGCCAATGCTCAACATGAGCGAGGAGCACGGCAAAGCCATGGAGGCGCCGGGCAGTCCGGCCGGCACCGCCAGCTCCCTGTCGCACGTGGACTCGGACTCGGACGCGCCTTCCTCCCCAGCCGGCTCGGAGGGGCCCTCGCCGGCTTCGGCGCCGCGCTCTTCCTCCTCCTCTTCCAAGGGCGAGCCGGGCGACGTGGACGAGCGCTTCCCCGCCTGCATCCGGGACGCCGTCTCGCAGGTGCTGAAGGGCTACGACTGGAGCCTGGTGCCCATGCCGGTGCGCGGCAACGGGGCGCTGAAAGCCAAGCCGCACGTCAAGCGGCCCATGAACGCCTTCATGGTTTGGGCGCAAGCGGCGCGCAGGAAGCTGGCCGACCAGTACCCGCATCTGCACAACGCCGAGCTCAGCAAGACGCTGGGCAAGCTCTGGCGGTGAGTGGATTCCCGAGCGCGGATTCCCGAGCGGGAAGGGGCGGCGGACCGGGGGAAGCCCTTCGGTTAGGATCGGGCGCAGGGCTGTCTTAACGCCGGGGCCGGATGGACACTTTCCCCGTGGGCCCCACGAGCATTAGGGCCCCATCCTACTCTCTGGATGTTCCCCCTTCCATGCACCTTGTGTCATCTAAATACAGGAACATATTTAGTACGTTTTACTGCGTTTTTTAAAAATGGATACTAATTAGTTTTTAAAATTAATACTGTTAATGCTCTATGTTTAATTTCATCGACGATTTGCATGTTTATTCCTGGGAGTAGTTGTCGTTGGGGCCTCAGGACGCGGCTTTGCCCGGGGCCCCATATTGCAGTTAAGACGGGCCCGGATCGCGAAGGGCGAGCGGCTGCGTCCCCGGGAAGGAGCGGCTCAACCTCGGTCGGTGGGACTCCGCTGCTTCCTGGGATTGGTGTGTAGTGCCTGATACCGAGGGACTTGCCCGTTGCATTTGGGTGCGAGAGCCCCGAGGGAGCTTGCGGTCGATCCAGGTTGGGCGCTCGTGCTTTCACCGCTGTTCCCGGGACTTTCTCCCTCCGAAGTTTGCAAGCGTTAAGAATCGGAACTTTACAGATTAACAGAGTTGGAAGGGACCTTGTAGGTCATTTAGTCCAACCCCCGCCCAAGCAGGAGACCCTATTTCTGACAGATGGCAGTCGAGTCTCTTCTTAAAAGTTTCGCGGGATGAAGCTCCCACAACTTCTGAATAATATAATATTCAGAATAATATCTGGATAATTCGGAATAATATCAGAGTAACAAAGCTGGAAGGGACCTTGTAGTTCATCTAGTCCAACCCCTCCCCCTTTGCCCAAGAGGACAGCCTACGCCATTTCTGATAGATGGCAGTCCAATCTCTTCTTGAAAGCCTCCAGCGATGAAGCTCCCACAACTCTGAACTTTGTTCCATGGGTTGATTGTTCTGTGAGAAAATTCCTCCTTATTTCCAGGTTGAATCTCTCCTTGTTCACTTTCCATCCATTATTCCTTGTCTGGCCTTCGGGTGCTTTGGAAAATAGCTGGACCCCTTCCTCCTCTCTATGGCAGCCCCTCAAATATTGGAAGACTGCTCTCCTGTCTCCTCTGGTCCTTCTCTTCCCTAGACTAGACTAACTTCGGGTGCCTTGGACCAATTATTTTGTCCTTGCCGGCAAGCAAGCCGTGTGTGTGTGGGGGGGGGGGCGGCTGTGGACGATGGGAGCTCCCTCCCCATCTGTTGGGAAGCCCATGCGTCCGGAGGAGTGGCCCTGGGGGATTTTAATCCCTGGGCTCCCGTGTAAGCGGCAGAAGTGGCGGGGCAGCCGCCCCGATGCGGCGTTCGGTTCGAATTGTTCAGACGATCCGCCTGGGGATGTTCGGATTTATTTATTTATTCCATCTGAATAAAATTGAAAACCGATTCGGCTTGAATTGGTTTTCTATCTGCAGCCAATTCCTGTCCCGTTGGGTGTCGGTTTGAGGAAAGCGGGGAGCTGCGTATTGGCAGGCTGAAAAAATTAGGAGCTCCCTTGGATTTCAGTGGACACGGAGGTTCAGGAGGGGGGGATCAGAGTGGAACGAGGGTTATGTAGTCCAGGGGTCTCCAACCTTGGGCACTTTAAGCCTGGCAGACTTCAATTCTGCAAAGCTGACTGCGGAATTCTGGGAGTTGAAGTTCACCAGGCTTAAAGTGGCCAAGGTTGGAGACCCCTGATGTGTGTATGCAAAACTCGGCTCTTATGGAAGGCTTTCCAAACATTGGCTTTACAACATCCAAGCCAGGATGTGTTCTGGTTTTTTCAGGGCTCCTGTGGGGGGCCTTCTAGAGCATCTGGGACAGTGCCCCCCCTTCTCTTTGAGGAATAAACCCTGAACTTAAGGAACACATGGAGGGAATCAAAAGTGCAGCCGGGGTAATGAAGGACAGCTGGAAGGAAATTAAGGGTCAAATCAGGGACATTCCTGGAAGTTCAAAGGGATTTACTTATAAGTTCACCCCCCCCCCATCCCACCCTGATCTGAGTCTTGGAGGCTGCTGAGGGCATACCTGTTAGAAAGGTGGCTATTTCAAACCTTATCCCCTTGGTGTGTAAAATGCTTGAATGGCCCTTGATTTTCCAAAGCTGGAAACACAGCGCATTATAAAACAAGAAGAGGAGACTTAAGGAAAAGTTTCTTTCTTTCTTTTCTCCTTGTTTTTAGCCTTATAAAAAGCATCACCATAGTGCCAAATTCCTGGAATGTTTCAGTATCTCACCTTTTAGTTCTGGCTGGTGAGATGTAGATAGATGTCACAAGGTAGGGTCAGTTTGGTACTCTGCATACAGAGAGCCGTGTTCCCATCTCTTCCCAGCTGGTTGCCCATCAAGTAAATAAACCCTAGTTTCCTTTTAAGGGGAAGAAGAGCCTGAACCCCCTCAAAAGGTGACCAAGGTCACAAAGGTGTAAAATGTTGTAGGAAAAAGATGCGACAAACTATGTTCTTCCTCGCGGGAATCAAAGCAGGCGCACGAATCGGTTTGTGGCGCCTTAGAAACAAACGATTTTATGATCCTTTGAGTTCCATCGATTCGTGTTTTTTCCCCGAACAACTCTTTTCTTGTTGCTTCTGGGGGAAAAAGAAAAAAAAAAAAGAATCATTGGCCAGTTGTCAGTTTTACTTAGAGAAAAAGGATACTTTAAAGTCCAGCGTATTTATTGTGGCAAAAGTTTGCATGGACTAGAACTCGATGCCCCCCAAAACTGATGACAGGCTGCAATTTTTTTTTTTCAGGTGCCACAAGACTTTCTTTGTTTTGCTGCAGCAATCTCAGAGCAGCTGCCCCTCTGGAATTTTCTATTAGCTTGGCTCCCAAGGTTGGCTGCGAACCTCCATTGCTCCTGAGTTAAGATTTTAAGCAGCACATTGGAGCAGATCTATCTAGAGGAAAAGAAAACATGTTTACCATTCCCTGATTTGTACTTTGCAGGCAAAGGATACCAGCTTGGGGGGGGGGTTGTTTATATTTGCTTTATATATATCTATATTTTTATTGATATAAGTTTTTAGAAGCTCACCCTTTTCCTAAACCTGGCATTCAGTCAGACATTAGATTGAGTGCCAGGTTTAGAAAAATGATCATGAGCTAAAACTATCTCTAACAAATGAATGGGTTAGTTAGAAGAACTGTCATTTTGGTTTGGTGCAATTCAATAAAAATCCTGCTCTTTTTCTTTCCCAGGCCACTGTCCCTCAAAAACACCATTAAAATTGAAAAGTCAGAGGCTTTCGTTAACTTCACTTTTTGACAAAACTTTTTGAAACACGTAAAGAAACAATTTTGTTTTAAGACTAAATGGCTTGCCTTGGATAATGGCTGGGTTTTTTTTCCTGTCCCCCAGTTGATGTATTTTATTGTTTTAGTATTCTTTGAAAATGAATTCTTTTTAAGCCGCCTAGAAAAACCCTTAGTACAGAGCAGATTCAAAATGAACAAATAAATAGGGGGTATGCCACCTGTTTTCCCTAGCCCCGGTGTTTGTTGTCAATAGTTTTTAATTGCTTTAATTTATTTATTTTTTACTGGGTTTTGCTACCATCTTTTTTGTGTTATTTATGATATGTGTTTTGTTTTTAGCTTTTAATTTTGTGAACTGCCCAGAGCCGTATATGTAAGATGGGCGGCTACATAAATGAAACAAACAAACTGGAAGGATAAAAGAATTTTCTTTGGGGTCTGGAGAGGACAGATCATGGAGTTACTGTATCTCTGTCCATTCTTCTCATTTCTTTTGGTCTCCAACAAGCATGTTGCATGACTCCAGCTCTGGTGGTTTTTTTTTTTTTAATGTTCTGTTTATGGAGCATTATGTGCCAAGGCAGCCATATGGCTTGCTTGCACACTGCAGTTCAAGCTTGCCATGGCAATATTTCCATAAAGCATCCACCGCCCCCTGTTATTATGTGCGCATTATATCTCGCCTGACTTGGAGCAAAGCACGAGGCCACCCAGCGAGTTCACTACTCAGAGATTTTGTTCAGGCATTCCTTGCCTTCCAGCTCCCTCCTAGAGATGGTTTGTGTTGTGGTTCCCAGACGGCAGCCTGTGCAGATGGCAGCGGAATCGGACAGTGGGGAAGAACATGGGCCAGTCTGGGAGTCTGGGGAGGACTCGGATGAGGGTCCTGCGTCCGATGCAGAGATGGGGTCAGGACCATCTGGGAGTGGGGTGCTGCCTTTGGAGCCTTCGGAGTCTGGCAGCAGCGAGGAAGAGGACCCAGGGGAGCCTGTTCCCAGTGCGCGTGTGTGCAGAGCTGCTAGTAGGTGAAAGCAGCTGAAACAAAAGGGGCGACTTGGGAGTAAGGCTGGGAGGTGATTGCCCCTCCCACAAGGTATAAAGGACAGGCAAAGGTAGAAAAACTGTCAGCTGGTGCTCCGTTCAAAATCCAAGGAAGAAATACTTAGACTCTATTAATTAGAGAAAAGATATCTTTTACTGGAAATCAAGTGGTAGCAACAAAAGAATTCACATATACAAAATGATGGCAACGTTCCCACCCCCAATAGTTCAATTGGCTCATCCAATTAAAAGTTGTGTACCACATCATGTGGGCATCTCCAGGTGGTGATGAAGCCTCTGTCCATTGACCTTGACATATTTTGATAAAGAGCTGTGGCTGCATAGCATAGGATAGAAGCCTAAGCAAGAATCTACCCCCCCCCCAGCTTATACAGTTCTGTTTTGTAACACCTCCAGCTCACTTCCCATAACTATATCCCCCCTCCTCCCCCTGTTACTTATGACAGCCGAAAGATACAAAGCAAAGGAAGAAAATCTTGAAGGCTGACAGAAACCTTTGCAGGAAGCAAAGTCGTTCATTCTGTTTGGATTAATCCTTGAAGCTCTGTGTGGACTTTGTACTTCAGTTGGTTTTTTTATAATTCATTTGGCACTTTAGTTGTTGGCAGCAATTCAAAGGAAAT